CCCCAAAACCCCAAAACCCCAAAACCCCAAAACCCCGAATATTAAATTAATACTGAAAGTAAAAAACTATGAGACCTACAAGAAAGTTGGTGAGAAGCCCAATGTCAACAGTAAGTTAGACTCGATCCACCTGCACAGAGTTGTTGTTTAATATCATAAATATTGATCTCTGCCTCTAAAATAATTCGTAAGATAATTTTACAAAAAATTCGGGAGACATATACTGGTGAAGGAAATTTCTGGAGAGAAGGAATTCTAAATTCACTGATAGTGACTCTATAACTAATCGATAACAATTGATCTTAAGCTTCTCATGCTAACTTCATGTCCTCACATAATATTTTAGAAGAGTTTGACCAGACATAATTCCAGCAGTGGACTCCCACTTATTTCTAAGAAGAGTGTAATAAGGTAACAATCAATGATGAAATATCATCCAAAAGTTTAATATTTCACTTAATTATGAGCTTAACTGTAGCTGTTCAGGAAATTAGACAACTGCTTATCATAGTACTCTTTAATTAAAGGAGAAAAAGTAAAATTTCTCTCCCAATAGATATTTCCCAGACGCTTGAGTTATTTTAGCCAGGAATTTTAGAATAAATCCATCCACCAGCTTAAACCATAACAAGTTAAATTCTGTATTTTATGAGTCTTTAGACTGAGTTGTTCAGTGGTTTAATAATTTTAGCTACAAATTTGCAACCTTATTTTAGTACTCTCTTAGGAAATACTTTTTATACCAAACGAGACTTTTACACTTTTATAGGATAAACCGGAAAAAGGTTCAGCAAGAAGTCCAACATAAAAAGAGCAACATTCCTTCATTCTTGTCAAGAGTGAAGCTTATCAAGCCAGTGATTCTGAATGAGAACAAGATTGGTATTCGTGAAATTGGTGAAAAGATTCATGAGAACTATACTAAGTTTAATAAGTGGACCATCATTCGAGACTTACACAGTATTAGTATTAAAAAATTCTTATCTTATAATTCAACTGTGATCGAGATGGACGAATTTACTTCCTTCAGTGCTCTATCTGTTAAAGCGAAGATTGATGAAGCAATGGAAAGGGGCACATGGGTAACACTATATTATCGAGAAACCCTATGTTCTATCAGTAAATTGGTGAGAAATAATGTTATTCCAGAAGATATTCTCAAGCCGGGAAGCCTCATGATGCCTTTTGATGGTAGATTTAGGCTCATCTTTGTGTCTTCCAAATTGGAGTACCCAAAATCCATGCTTGATAGCTGTGTCCTTATCGGAATAGAAGATGAAAAGCTTAAAATTGAAAAACAATTGACTAAATTCAAACGAGTAAGAGGAATAAATAAAAAGGATCCCAGCCAAATGCATAAAGAAAATGAGTTCATTGAAGCCTGATTCGAAGGAGAGATTGAAAAAGTTAAAGAGATGCTCCAGATTCCATGGCTTAATGCTAACACAATGGATCTTCATATGAACACAGCTTTAATGGAGGCTGCTCTTAAAGGAAATCTGAATGTTTGAAAGCTGCTCATATCACATAGTGATGGCGAGGAGGTACAAGAAGCTCCTGAAGTTTCTACTGAGATTCATTGCCCTAAAATTCCAAATCTGAAAAAGCTGGATATCAATGCTGTGAATCCTGATGGGAAGACAGCTCTTCATAAGGCTGCGTATAACGGAAGTGCCACCGTTATCAAGTTGCTGTTACTAAACGGTGCAGATCCTGATATAGTTGACTCAAATGGAAACAAGCCAATTAACTATATCAATAATCTGGAGGCTAAGTTCATTATGAAGAAATGGAAGCCTGAATGGGCTCAGAAGTATAAAATGATGAACAACATCAAATCCTTTGAGAACCCAGACGAAATCGATGTCACACAACTTTCTAAGAATATGAAGAAGAAGCTACAGGAATTCCTAGTAGAGAAAGCTAAGAATGGGGAGTACACAAAGATCTACAATCTTATATCTAAAGGCAAAGCTACAATAGAGACTAAAAATTCTGAAGGCCAGTCTTTGCTTAGCCTGGCTGTTGTCTATGGCCATTTCGATTGAGTTTATAGGATGCTGAAGGATTTCAGCCCAAATGTAAACTCTAAGGACTCTAAAGGCTGGACTCCATTGATGAACGCTGCTTATAATGGCCACTTGAGAATAGCAAAACTTTTACTATCTCATGACGCAGATATTAACATTAAAAATGATCAAAATATGAGGGCTTTAGATCTAGCTCAAGGAACAGAATTGAAGAACTATTTAATTCAAGAGACCAGAAATGCTCATATTTATGATTTTGAACAGATTCTTGAATTGAGCATGACAAACGCATCTACAAAGAACATTGCTTCGCTTTCAAGCTCATATAAAATAGACCATGAAGAGGAGGAAGGCAACAGATCATTATTCGACAAGATGAGCAAGGAGAAAAAGTCCAAGAATAGACAAAAACAAAAGTCTGGATTCATGCAGTCTCCCAATCTAAAAGCTATCAAGAAGAAAAGTAGGGTATTTTCAAGTGGGAAGTCCTCTACATCAAACCTTCGTGTAAGAAGAGCCATACAGAACCAGCGTCAGAGCAATATGAAGTCCCAGAGTAAACTCTCCACTAACCCTAGGTGAAAAATTACCAACCTAAAGGCTAAGAAGAAGAGGTGGTGCTTTAGCCCAGATATTACAGCTAAAAACAGTCATTTTCTACTCTTCGACCATATTTAGGTCCCTTTAATCTGAAATATTGTGAAAATAAATAATTCAATTAATAGTCAGTATTGGGGTTTTGGGGTTTTGGGGTTTTGGGGTTTTGGGG